CACACGGTATATACTCACTCATATACACATATAATATAAGATAAACCTACTAAAATCTGTGCAGCTAAAGGAATTAATGAAGAGGGAGGACTCTGACTAAAAGGCTCAATCTCCATCCTGAAAGGCAAAGAGTATGGACATCAGAAGAGGAAGAAAACAGGAAACAAGTTAGGAACCTGCCACAGAGGACCTCTGAAAGGCTCTACCCTGCAGACTATCAATGCAGATGCTGAGACTTATGGCTAACCTTTGGGCAGAGCGCAGGGAATCTTTTGAAAGAAGTGGGAAATAGTAAGATCTGGAGAAGACAGAAGCTCCACAAGGAGAGCAACAGAACCAAAAAATTTGAACACAGGGTTCTTCCCAGAGACTGATACTCCAACCAAGTAGCATGCATGGAGATAACCTAGAACCCCTGCACAGATGTAGCCCATGGCAGGTCAGTGTTCAAGTGGGTTCCATAGTAATGGGAACTGAGACTGTCTCTGAGAGGAACTGATTGGCCTGCTCTTTAATCACTTCCCCATGAGGGGGGAGCAGACTTACCAGGCCACAGAAGATGACAATGCAGCCACTCCTGATGAGATCTGATAGACTAGGATCAGAAGGAAGGAGAGAAGGACCTCCTCTATCAATGGACTTGGAGAGGGGCATGCCCGAAGAAGGTAGAGAGAATGTGGGATGAGGAGGGGAGGAGAGAGGGGTTTATGGGGGATACAAAGTGAATAAAGTGTAATTAATAAAAGTTAAAAAAATAAATAAATGTATACTGTGGAATGATAGAGTCCAAACATCATGAAGAGGTGTTGACACAAATCTAATAAAAACTATCTCCATAAAATCTTGAGCATGGAGCCAGGCATGGTGGCACTCCTATAATTCCAAAACTTGGGAAGGCAGAGGCATGCATATCTCTGTGAGTTTGAGGCTAGCCTAGTCTACAAAGTATGTCTAGGACAGCCAAGGCTATGCAGAGAAACCCTGTCTTGAAACAAACAAACAAACAAAAAAACCCAAAACAACAACAAAAACTTGAGAATGAATATTTATAACTAGTTTATTTTCAAAAATTGCAGAAGATAAATTTCAATAGGAAGGAAACAGTACATATACTATATTCATAATATTGTTTAATAATAGACAGGAGTCATCCAGTCACCAAAAGGAAAGGAACAGTTTGAAACAAGTCAAACAAGCCAATATTTGAAAACTACATATTATTTGACTTCAACCAAGGAGCATTTTGGAAAGAGTAAATCTTCAGAGATTATAAGAATCGCTGGTGCTAGGTGCTCAGAAGAGAGGAGGCAGGGCTTCTGGATTGAGGGAAAGGAGTTTTTAGAAGGCGAAACTACAATAAGAGCTTCTGTAACTGTGGATTTATGACATTATGTATTCATTACTGTTCATGAAATTTAAAGTAAATTGCAAATTTATAACATCCCTCCCTTCCACTTTCTTCTTTCAAATGCTCTCATTTATACATATCCCTTTCAAATTCATGGCCCCTTTTTTTCGCTAAGTTCTATTGCATGCATATATGTATATGTGTAAACATATATATTCCCAATATATTCTTTCAATCTATATAATGTTTCTTGTGTGTGTGTTTTCAGGGCTGACCGTTTAGTCCTAGACAAACAATTGATGTGTTTTTCCTTGAGGAGGACCAACTCTTGTGCTTCCAGATTTCGTAGACTGTATAGGCAACAGTTTTAAATGAAATGCACATCTCTATTGTCTTGCTTGGACCCAATTAAATGTTGCACTTTCACTGTTCTCCTTGTTATTCTTCAATGAGTGAGAAATATTCTCATCCTGTACTAGGATCTGATATCCTCTAAGGCTCCTCTCTTCTCCTTGTTCACTTCTTATCTGTCCTTTATAAATGTTCAACTTAAGAAATGATATAATGAATGGGTAGTTTACGACTGATGTATTAGCCAAAGGGGGGAAAAAGCAGGAGTTGAGGCCATGCATATTTCTGAGAAAATGAACCTGACCTTATGACTAAATGCAAATGCAGGTATCTCTCCCCATCCATTGCATCATAGCTCAGATTTACAAGTTAGTCTCTGTCTCCTTCCTTGGCTGACAGAATATAAGCACACAAGAAACTTGCCAATTATACAAACAGTTCTCATTTTTGTTTTAACAGCTTAAACCTTGTGCTGCCATTTGAAGAGAACTAAACTGCCATTTGAAGGATCATCTGGGCAGGTTGTACTTTTTATTTTGATATTAAAAGATTTTAAATATATAAAATACAAAATTTATGTCATTTTCTAGGTTGTTCCAAAATAAAGGAACAATAATATTTGTATTGTTACTATGCTTATTTGATAATGCAAATCATTTAAATTATTTTAATACTATTGTCACAAAAATATACTTTGTAGTTTAAGATAAAATTTATGTACTATAGATACCGGGGAAGTACTTAACGCAATTGTTATAAAGAATCTTGAAAATCCTATTGCTAACTTCTTATGTACATAACTTATATAATACAGCAGATATAGAGATTTATTGACAAGTCATTCATGTGTATTTCATTTGCAGAATACTGTTCATTTTTTTTTTTTTTGTAGAAACACAGTGAAAGCTACCCAGCCACAACCAGAGTATGATAGTCTTTTTTCAGAATCTGCTTTGAAGTGTTAGGTGTTGGCAGAAAAATGTATAAAAGAACAGTTGCTTTCAGCCATTTTACTCCAACCCATACCAAAATGGAAAAAGCAAGAACTCAACAATAATTATGAGCATCCTTTATAGAAAGGAGGAAAGGTCACACAGAGAAGGGTAGCAGGATAAAGTTCAGGTACAGAAATAGAAGAGGAAATTATTTTAAAGAAAGGAAAAATCATTGTTTCTGAAATCATTAAATGTATGACTCATCTTTTGTATTTTAATTAAATTTTTATTTTTATATTAATTACAGTTTATTCACTTTGTAACCCAGCTGTAGCCCCCCTCATTCCTTTCCAATCCCATCCTCCCTCCCTCATCTTCTCCTACGCCCTTCTCTAAATCCACTGATAGGGGAGGTCCCCCTCCCCTTTCATCTGACCTTAGTTTATTAGGTCTCATTAGGACTGGCTGCATTGTCCTCCTCTGTGGCCTGGCAAAGCTGCTCCCCCCTCAGGGGAGGTGGTCAAAGAACCAGCCACCGAGTTCATGTCAGAGACAGTCCCTGTTTCCCTTACTAGTGAACCCTCTTGGATAATGAGCTGCCATGGGCTACATCTGAACAGGGGTTCTAGGTTATATTCATGAATAGTCCTTGATTAAACAATGTATGTTGCTGTTTCTGTACAACTGGCACCTATTCACATCCTTATGAAATATTATTGACAACAATTTCTGACTGAAATACCTATTTTAATGAAAACCACACAGCTTTGAGGCGATTTATGAAAAACAACATTGGGAGGAAGATGGCTTTTTGATGTCATAACTTTAACTCTGAGACCAGCTTGACGGCCTGTTGTCAGGCTATTGCTTGCTGGTGGGTTAACCACTCTGTGTTGACTGCAAGCTATTTCTTAGAAAAGTGGCTCAATCCACACAACACAATTCACTTGAATAAAACACATCTGTACGGTAAATGGTGGATGTTTTAGTTCTTTTTACAAATGAACACTTTTTTCTTATAAATTTCTATTTTCAGTAAGAAGGAAAACAATTCTGACAACAGACCAATGATGTATTTCTGTTTTGGGTATATAAATAATATTTTTAAATTGTTAGATCTACATGCATCATAGATTTTTTTTCCAAAGAGTTAAAATTAATCACAAGGACTAGGATTCTCTTTTCTTTGGAAGGAATACTGTGACTAGTAATATTTTATGGTTATATAACACATATAAACATTTTCTGAACAACAGCAGAATAATCGAAAGGTTTCACTTGATGCCTTTCCTTTAGTGTGCCATTTAGACCTACATTGAATCGAACATAATATTGGGTGGGTTGTCTTGAAATTTCTTAGTGAAGAAAATAAATGCCAGGAAAACAATCTTGTTTATTAAAGTGAGGAAACAAAGAATTCCTCTAGGATCTTTGCATTTATAAGGCATATTCTTGGAAATTGTGAATGGCACATAATTTTACTGACTGAACAACTATGTTACGATGCCATTCCTTGACCCACTGTTTAAAATTTTGATCAGGGGGTGAAGTAGAACCATTCTGCTGAGGCTTGTCATTGTGGGGCAAATCACTCACTGAGAAGTTCAATTATTTTTAGAGTAAGTGAGAAAAGTAAACTAAAGGTCAATGACTATAGAGGACTTTTCTATAACTCCAACACTCTAAATTTTAGGCACAAGTTTTACTTCCATGTAAGTACATTTATCAAACATTGAATTCCCTTGGTTCAACGACATACATTCAGGAACAAAGAAAGATTTGGGTTAGAGACCTGACAGGACCTTTGTATGATGGCAGCCCATCTTTATTATTGAATGCAGACAGGATCAAGCTTTTTGCTGAAACATGATTATATATATTTTAAGACTTCTAATTCTTTTCAGATATTTCATGAATTTGAATAAATTGAAGATTGTTTTTTCATCCATCACAGAATGTTATATATTACATATTTACATAAATATTGACATAAATATGCAGATATATATGCTAAATTGTTTAATATTGTTTAAGATTGAGTTTAAATTATACTCTACATTGCTTTGTACATTTTTATTTATTTATGTTAAAGTTAAATGATTTATATTTTAGTAGGAATAAAAAGTACTTAAAGAGTAATAATATGTATTTCTGTTATTTAAGATATTTTCTCATAAAATATGTCCTGATTATAATTTTTACTACCTTTAGTAACATTAAGTATATATTCATCCTGTGTAACAGGTAAGAAGGAACAGACATTTAAGTGGCCTTTATGTGCAGAGTTATTGCTAATGTGAAAGCATTGCAAAGTGCATACAAACTTTAAAACATGTTTTTTTTTTTAACCAGTACACAGCTTTGAGATGGAGCCTCCTATGTCTGAGTATTACGAAATTTTTGAGGAGTTCTGTGGAGTTCTAATGGATAAACGTTTCACCAAATATTGGGATGATGTTGAAACATTCTTGGCCAGGCCAGACGACCTTGTGATTGCTACTTATCCTAAATCTGGCAAGTGTTTTTGCTATGACCATATGTTTCTTTGACACATAGAAGCTATAAACCTACTTTGAAACATTAATATTAAAGTGTATACCTGACTCACACTTATTTTACATTAAAAGGAGAGTTGTAGCAATTTTGGTGTGACAAAAATATTAATAAATTTCACATTATCATTTCTGTTCCACAATCTTAAACTCCAAGAACACAGTAACCTCATTAAATCATGAATAAATGAAAACTGTAGATTACACAATTACATTATTCAAAGCAATTCAGTCTGAGATATGCATTGTGTAATGAGTATTTTTAACATTTTTATTTATGTTATTTCTGTGCATATGGATTAAAAACTTTTTCAAATGGAATAAAAAATACTCTTTCAAGCATTCACCTCTTCTTCATTGCATATAATAACAAATTCTAATTTCACTACATATATTCACAGATTGCAATTCTGTTTTTTTCCTCTGAGATTAGTATACTACTAGTATATAGCATTATACTATGTATTAGTATACTAGTATTAGTATACACTAATATACATAATTATAGAGCCTTAAATTATAGAATCTAGAAGCTGAAAAAGTCCAATCTTATGTTCTCTGTCTGCTTATTAACATTTTGTACTTAAAAATAAATTAGTCATCTATTTATGATCAGATAATCTTAAAATTATAATACTTAGGAGACATGAGAATCATGAGTTTGAAGCCAGCCATAGTTATACTGACATATTCTGTCTCAAATTAAACAGAATCACAAACACACACACACACACACACACACACACACACACACACACACACACAC